ATCGGCCCTGCTCTGAGCCTGACCAGGGGCTGCACCTAGGGATTGGGCGTGCCCTCTGCCACCCGGGAGCAGGCCTAAGCCAGCAGGTCGTTATCTCCCAAGGGGTCCCAGACTTTGAGAGGGCACAGGCCGGGCTGGGGGACCCCCCCACCCCAGTGCACACATTTTTGTGCACCGGGCCTCTAGTCCTATATAATAAAAGGCTAATATGCAAATTGTCTTCTTGGGAGTTCGATGGCTCACTATGATGGTACTGACCAGCAGGGGGCAGCGAGGAACTAAGGAAGGCCCCGGCCCACAGCAGGAAGGCCCAGATTGGCCCTGATGGCTGGCCATGCCTAGGGACCCTACCTGTGCACTAATTTTGCGCACCAGGGCTCTAGTGTTATAATAATGTTGAGCTCTCAGTTGAAGCATACTTGTCTCGAGTGAGGATTAATATCTTTTATGTTTAATATAATAACTAAATGTATTTCTTCTAAAAGATTTCAATATTTTGGTGTGCTATATTGTTATCAAATAATACTGATATCAATACTTCTATTAAGTGCATTAATAGAAGTATTAATGTATTTGCATGAAGCAAGTATTGCTTGTTTAAAAATCATGTTTTTTAAAAATTAAAAAAATCTAGGTAGCACTTGCCAACACTTGTGAAATCTTAGGCATGGAATTTCAGAATTTAAGAACTCTTTGTCTACTTTTTCTTTCTGACATCCAGAAATTCACAGAAGCAGGAATTCTTAATCTGAAGCTGATTTGAGAAATTTGGCAATTAGGCAAAATAGGGAAAAGTTCCGATCCCTTACAAAGAGTGGCTGTTATACTTAACAGTTTGGGGCATTTTATGCGTCAAATCAGGGAGGAAAGGATGGCGATCGCGCCTGTTTTTAAAAGAACTACACGCGCGGACAGCCGCACCCCCTCACCGCTCCGTCCTGGATGGAGGAGTGTCCCTCCCGGCAGGTCGTCCATGCCGGGTGGGGCGCCCGCCCCCTCCTGCCCCCTTTGTGCGTTACAATGACGCTCCCGGCCTTTACCCCAGGCCGGCTGGAAAAGGGGGTACTCTGGGGGCACCCCCATCAGGCGCGCTCCAATGACTGTCTTCGTGGGGAGCAGCGTCGGTTCCAGGTCCGAGCGGATCTCTGCTTTCCGGTGCAGACGGCGGGACGTGCCCTTCCGGCCCCACCGAGTCGGGGCGCACCGGGTCCGGTGCCG